ATATATATACTCGTATATATATATATTAATTTATATATATATATATATATATATATATATACGAGGTGTGTTCAAAAAGTACCCGGAATTTTTAAATTTCGCGGGTCTGGAGTGTCTGATTGTCAAAATTTTTTTTTTATTGTGTTGGTATACATGCCCCTAAAGTATGATGAAATTTTCAGCTATATTCACTGTTTACTTTGTCTGTGGTAGTCGCTAAGGTTCGACGTGTTTTTCTGAGCTCGGCGATTTTTACAATGGAAGAATTGAAAAGTCAAAGAATTTGTATTAAATTTTGCGTAAAAAATGAAATAAAGTGTAACAAAGTGTGTGAAATGTTACAAAAAGCCTATGGTGAGTCTGCTATGAAAAAAACAAGTGTTTACGAGTGGTATAAGCGTTTCCAAGATGGCCGCGAAGACGTTGAAGATGACGAACGCTCCGGTCGACCCAGCACGTCAACAAACGATGAAAATGTGAAAGAAGTGGAAAAAATGGTTATGAATGATCGCCGAATCACAATTAGAGAAGTTGCTGATGAAGTTGGCATATCAATTGGCTCATGTCATAACATTTTTTCAAATGTTTTGGGCATGAAACGAGTGGCAGCAAAATTCATTCCAAAACTGCTAAATTTTGACCAAAAAAGCAATCGCATGAACATCGCTCAAGAGCTGTTAAATGACGTCAACAACGATCCAAGTTTGCTTGAAAGGGTCATAACTGGTGATGAAACATGGGTGTACGGTTATGATGTCGAAACCAAAGCCCAATCGTCCCAATGGAAGAGCCCAGGTGAGCCAAGACCGAAAAAAGCACGTCAAGTTCGATCGAATGTCAAGGTTTTGCTTACTGTTTTCTTTGATTATAACGGCATAGTGCATCAAGAGTTCTTACCACAAGGTCGTACGGTTAATAAGGAGTATTACCTTGAAGTGATGCGACGTTTGCGTGAAGCAATCCGAAAAAAACGCTCCGATTTATGGAAAAACAATTCATGGCTGTTGCACCACGATAACGCACCTGCTCACTCGTCGTTGCTTGTTCGTAATTTTTTGGCCAAGAACAATACCGTAGTCATGCCCCAACCTCCATATTCACCAGATATGGCTCCGTGTGACTTTTTCCTATTCCCAAAGTTGAAGAGACCCATGAAAGGACGGCGGTTTTCCTCGATTGAAGAAATAAAGGCCGAATCGCTGAGAGTGCTCAAGGACATATCAAAAAGTGAATATCAAGGGTGCTTCGAAAATTGGAAAAAACTCTGGCATAAGTGTATTATATCTGGGGGGGACTACTTTGAAGGGGACCACATTAATGTAGACGAATAAATAAATATTTTTTTGAAAAAACGAAAATTCCGGGTACTTTTTGAACAGACCTCGTATGTGTGTGTGTGTGTGTGTAATATCATTTTAGCATATCCCTTTCAAGCTGAGCACAAAAAGAATAGAAATGTACATGAAAGTATATATTATTTATATATATATACATATGCATATATATATATATATATATATATACATATATGTATATTTATTTTGATTAACATTAAGTTACATAATATCTATGATGTACAGTCTCTATTTGGGAATCTTTTCTGCGCTATTATTAATGTGCATTCAAATGTTGGTTCAAAATGTCATTATTATCATTGTCTTAAAGAAAAACAAATCATTGATATTATTATAACAGTACTTGATAGTTTTCTTATAGCATCTACAATAAGACATTTTAGAGTAAAGCTATTGACATCTCTTCCAGAATAGTCAAATGCTATAAACAGTGCACATTAAGGGTGTTTTATCCCTTTGCACTAGCTAGAATTTTACCATTAATCATGATTATACTTTGTCATTTGGCATTTCCTGAAAATCTATACAATGTGATTCCCTTTATCATCATTAAACAACGCAAATAATAATATTTCTTGTAATATCAAAATAAAATTATTAATACTTAAAAACTTTTCCTGTGGCATAGCCAAACTTAAATTAACCTTTGCACTAGCTAGAATTTCACCATTAATTGAGAATTTCCTTCCGCTTACGATTATATCATTAGTGTTTTTAGTATGTTCTCCAAACTGCCTTAATATACGTATAATTACGAGTCCTACTGTTCAATATTAGTGGGAGATCAGCAAAGATTTTAGCACATTTCAGACTTCATTCTAATTGTTGAAGTAAAACTTCTTTAGGAGCGACATGGGTGTAAAAACTTCTTTAGGCGCGACACGGGTGTAAATCCGTACAAATGTAACGAAAACGCCAACGTGAAGTTGAAGACTACGACGCTAGTAAGCGCAGCTATCGCAATTATTCGATCTAGTCTGCGAGCAAAACAAAAAATACATCAAATGTCAAATCATATGTCAAAAACAAAACAAAATGTGTCGACTTTCATTTGAGTTTTGTATTTAGCTCGTAGTCTCTAAACATTTTTGAAGTAAAACTTCTTTAGGCGCGACATGGGTATTATTAGTATTTTCCTTTTATACTGCTGAAAAAATCGATGTAGAATTATTAGTTATGAACCTACATTATTAGAACAAGAATAATTTATATTTATTTATTTAATAACATACCTTTCAGAGAGCTGACAGGAATTCTCTCTGTCTATTTATAACCTTAAAATTTCTAGTATTGATATAGTTAAATGTCTCAACTGTTTCTGAATTATTAAACTGTAATGAAAAATCATATCAGAATAGTACTATCAAATGAAAGTAATTTGAGGTATGCATATTAATAAAAGTACTCACTTAGATTGAAAGCCGGCAAATATTATTAACCATTTTACTTTTACTTCGTCGTTTCTCGCTGGAACTACATGATACATGCATTTTTCTTGGTATTTCTTCATCGTTAAACAATGCACTTCGACAGCTTATTTGTTTTTTACGTTAACAAGCGTTTATTATATTGTCTAGGTAATCTCTTCATGAAAAAATTTATTACCATATTATATTGGACGCCATATTTGATTTGCGTATCTGTCATATGTCAAATTCGATTTCAAAAAAAAAAAAAAAAATGAAAACAAGCGCGACAGGCGGCAGGGGCTCTAACTAAACTCGGGTTACAGACATTTGTTCGGAGATTACCGGCCATGTGTGCAGTCCTGCATTAGTTTATGTTGTGTTTATTAAGATTAGTTTATGTTGTTGTGGTTATTAAGATATTGTTGTTATTGACAAATTTTGTAAATTTGATAACTTTAAATAATTTTTCCCTTTCCCGCCACTTTAAATAATAAATCTGACGTTTCACGGTACATCCTCGAACAAAAAAGACTCAAGCCCTCACTGCTTTGAGGCGTTTGTTTGGAATTATTCGCGTTCGTTCGTGTTCCTGTTCGTTCTTCTTTAGGTGGTCCATACCTAACGAATGAACACGAACGAACATAAAAGAACGAACCAGAACAAACGGCAACAGCATAGTGTGGACGCCACGACGATCACGAACGAACATAAACAAACATGGCGAGCAATGTTCCGCAACTTGTCGGTACATCAAAGGGAATTGTTCGTTCATGTTTGAACTCGTATGTGCAGTGTGGACGTCTCAACGAACGCAAACGAACATTTTTGTTTTAATAATTTTAATAATTTAATAATATTTTTTTAATAATTTAATAATAATGTTAATAATTTAATAATATTTACTTTTAATTATTGTGTACAGTTTGAAAATTTTAATAATATTTACTTTTAATTATTGTGTACAGTTTGAAAATTTTGAATAAATTATGGAATGGTCAAATGACGTAATTTTATCATTCATAAATGAAATAGAAAAGTTTCCTATAATATGGGAGACTAAAGACCCTTTTTATAAAATTATTAGAAAAAAAAACGATGCTTGGGAAAGTGTAGGCAAAACGTTTAGGATGTCAGAAGCTGCAGTAAAGAAGAAATTGCAGTCTTTACAAGTAAATATTAAACTTGCTATCATACATAGACATTCAACATATATGTTGAGGATGAGAGTATGAAAATTGAGTATAGTTAGCTCAAGCCTGGAATGTTCAGCTTGCTCCGAATATGAATGCTGAGGAAAGAAAACGACTCAAAATATAAATATTAAATACAAAAACTGAGTGAAATTAATTGAATAATTTATTTACAGTATATTTACAAAATATACACGAACAAAAATCACACAAAAACCAGTGAAAATGCCGTATGATTAAAGCTTATATCCATATCAATAATAAAACTGACGTTTCACGGAACATCTACGAACAACGAAAATTCAAGCGCTAACTGCTTTTAAGCGCTTGTTCAAGTTCGTTTGGAATTTTTTGCGTTCGTTCGTGTTCCTGTTCGTTCTTCTTTGTATTTTCTTGTTCGACATGTTTGTTCGTGTTCGTTCGTTAGGTGTGGCGCACCTTTATAATAAATACAACATAAACTAATGCAGGACTGCACATTATAACATCAAAAAAAGAGAAATGTTTGTCTACATTCGTGGTAGCGTCCACATGCACATACGAGTTCAACCATGAACGAAAAATTTTCTTTGATGTACGGACAAGTTGCGGAACATTGCTCGCCATGTTTGTTTGTGTTCGTTCGTGTTTGTTGTGGCTCCACACTATGCTCGTTGCCGTTCGTTCTGGCACGCATTTCTTGCTTGGTTATGTTCGCTCGTTAGGTGTGGAGTGTGGCGCACCCATAGATTTCATATTGTATAAGGACATAAGGTCTATGGGCGCACCTCATTCGCGTCGACCCTTCGAAGAGTGAAGACAAAAACCGTAGACAATATACATGAACACGGGGTATTCTAATATTGTCTAGGAATATACTAACAAAAACCTAACCTAAATTTATCTCAAATCAGTGAAATACTTTATACTTATTTTATTATTGTAAATTAAACTTATATACACGTTATTCAGTTCTTTTAATTATAAATATAAATAATATATAGACACGGCATCTATATCTCCAAATCCGTTTAATTTTTGTTTTGCTACAATTGTCAATTCGCGTAGACGTTGATTAGTTTCCATAATCTAAAAAAAGATCCTACAGAAAAATAATAAATGCAAAATGAGTTGTCACGTCCCTGGATGTATGGGAAACAAGAAAAAAGTGAGATTACATGGTTTTCCAACAAGAAATGACAAAGTATTCAAAATATATTTTTGTGTTACCGTATTATAGGTTATAAATTATAATGACCAATATTATAGATGTACGAAATTTGGATTAAACGAGCGAATAATCCGAAACTGGATGGTATAAAGCTCGAAATTATGCGCACAAGTCGATTTGTTTGCGACAATCATTTTGCTGATTGTTGCAAAATAGAACCACCGAAGAGAAAAATGTCAAATCTTAAAGTTAATGCGCTGCCAACTATAAATATGCCTGGTTAGTATTGTAATCAATGTACTAAAATATTCTAAAATAATATTTGTCAGTCAACATATTAGTATTTGTTGTGCAGGATTTGATGGAGACCCTCTCAATGAAGAGAACTGCCTTTTGGATAAAGCAACTTTCCGTAATTATTTTTAAATCAAAACAGCAAAATTCAATAATTACAGAGTAATCATATGCTTTTAACTTTTAGAGCTTGGTAAGAATTTGAAACCAAGAAAAAAGAGAACATTCAATTTTCATTTCACAAACTATATTGAAAATTCTATGAACAGAAATGATAACATATCCGCTCAGAGAGAATGTTATACTCCAGAAATCTTGCCTGACAATAACACTCTTTTTGCACATTGTAATGGAGCTCATGTGAAACAAGAAGATGAGGCTGAAGAAGAAGTTGATGTGAAACAGGAAGTATATGTGAAACAGGAAGCATATGTGAAACAGGAAGTATATGTGAAACAGGAAGTTGATGTGAAACAAGAAGTTGATGTGTAACACGAAGTTGATGTGTAACAGGAAGTTGTGTCCAATGCAGGGGCAATACAGGAACATGTCATGCCTCTGTAGAAAACAGGTGAATAAACATGACTGATATTCCCACTATCCAAATATTACCCTATTTAAAAATAATACGCCTACCTTCATATTTATTTTCAGGTGATAGTTGAACGAACAGCCAGTACAAGTATTTTGAGACACTTTTGGGAGAGTCGGGAGAAAAATTCTTTTATAGTACTCCAAAGTAGCAAATGTGTGAGAAGACTTCCATGTAGCTGCATGCTTGTTTCAACAACACAAATAAAATTAAATGTAACTTTTCCAAAATATGCAGATGCAACTAGAGCCAGGAGCGAGATGACTTACATAAAAGGCAAAAGGAAAAAAAAATTTATATTCTTGGTCAAGGCAATTTAAAAAATACTTGTTCACAAATGACTAAAAATATTTTTTCTACTTTAATTTATTTGATCATTATTATGAATTTCATTTGACTATAATTTTTTACCTCAAACCAAAAGTAATTTTCCTGAATAATACCTTGCTTTAATTAAAAGAGGTTTCTGATAACATGTCTAACATACATATATATTCATCCAAATATATGTCATATATATCTTGATATATGTGTTATACAAGTGACTTGTTTTATAACTATATTTTTATATTAAAAAGTGGTTCTCAATATATGTATATGTTTGCTTTTGAATTATTTATATACACTGAAGATGAATCATACCCAGACTCAAAACATTTACAGTTTTAATAGTCGTTTTCCTTGATTACATTTTTTTAATTGATGGATGTCCGTTACATGATAAAAAGTAATAACTATTCAAAGTAATAATTACTCATTAGTATATGAAAAAGGAAACATTATGATTAGATATCAGCAGTAGCGTTGGAACCGTGTAGGCTGGGTGAGCTTGAGCCCATCCATGTATTTTGATTTTCATCTCAAAATATGGTATTTTTCTTTTTCTCTTCATTCCAGCCACATTCATATGTCAAAAAGTTTTTCTGTATGGTATTCTGATGTCAAAATGTCATTTTTGAAAGTTGGTTTCCATAATTGGAAAGATGCCCTTGTAAGGTTTAACACGCACCAGAAAAGTTCTTTTCATCAAAAATGTAAAGACCTTATATGCAAGAGAGCAACTGGTAATACTGTGGAATCTCAGCTTCATGATCAATATGCACAACAACAAAAATCTACAAGGAATTGTTTGTTGGCAATAATCAGTTCAATAAGCTATTGAGCTCATTCAGACAATGCTCTTAGAGGACACAGCATGCAAGATCGGAATTTGCAACTCTTATTAGAGGAGAGATCTTTCGATATTCCAGAACTAGTTTCATGGCTAAAAAACAATATGAATATTTAAGTGCTGATATTCAGAATGAAATTTTGCAGATAATGGCACACGTTTTTTTTTAGAAGACTTGTTGAGAAAATGAGAGCCTCAACGCGCTTCTCTATTATTGCTGATGGCACAACTGACTGTTCTGGAGAAGAGCAATTTTCATTGTTTATACATTTTGTTCATCCAGACTTACTCACTACAAATAAAGTATTTGTTGGAATTAACAACCCAGAAGACTCCAAAGGCTCTACACTTGCTGCAGCGATAAAAGATATTTTGCTACAACTAAATTTAACCCTTTCAATGCTATGTGGGGAATGTTTTGATGGTGTGCGTATGTCGGGAAAAAACAAAGGGATTAAAAAAATTCTACATCATGAGCAACCCAAGTCGATACATGTACATTGCTCAAATCATTCCCTTAATCTCGCACTGCAGGAAGTTACCAAAGAAAATGATAAAATCTGTGACGTTCGTTGCTTGATTTCATCGAACGCTACTTTAAAATCTCCCAAGAAAAGAAAGATTTACGAAAGCGTTGTAGTACATGCAATAGAAGATGATCTTGAAAAAACATGGCATAATTTAATTGCAATGTATCCTACTACGGTACAAGAAAGAGTATCCTAGGGTCCGAGAAACATTGTAGAAGATTATTGATGAACCATATGCATCAACACCGTCGAGAAAACATAAAAGTAGCTCATCGGATTTTTTTATGAAAACATAAACTTCTCCTTCGGGAAGTTAAGCATATCAATCAAATAGTTTTTTAGAAAATAGAAACTGAAGAGCAATAACAAGCAATGAAATTATAGTTATGCAAACCTAAAATGAAAATATGTCATATATATATATATATATATATATATATATATATATATAATTATTGTAATCAAAGCTACTTTAAAAATGTAAATCATGTTCAAGTCAAAAAATCCAGCAACCATGAATTTTCGTTTCCTATGGTGCATCTGTAAACACCATGTTTGAATCTGGAAAATAATCTATTTAATAAATGTATTACATATTAGTAATTGTAACAATAAAAATACGTAAATTGCAGAATTCAAACTTACTGTTTCCTTAATATTTTGGTTGCATTTGTGCGCAACCCTATGTATCAATGTAGCGGCTTTCGCAGCCTATTGGCTGGTCATGTGGCAAATTCCAGCTATAACAAAAGCTGGCAGCATAAAGTTCAAACTCTGGCATATAATGTTTAATATATTGTGTAAATTTTTAATCTGTTGCGCCGCCATCATATAGTAACTATTTAATAGTGAAATTATAATTGCTTGGAAACAGCGCCTGATGAGTTATATTAACTTTTTTTACAAAGCTTTGAAAACTTTTTTTTTTCAAAAAAAATTTTTTGAAAACTTTGGGCATGTTGAATTTTTGAGAATTTAGAATTTTTTGAAAAAAAATTACCTTTTTTATTTTTTTATATATTTTGAAACTTTTTGCAAAAATTGTTTTGTTATATCTTGAATTTTTTTAACTTTTTTTTAAAGCAATCGCGCTGCGTAGGTGTTTTAGAGTCGAAATATCGAAGCGCCGCGTCGTAGTCCAACTTGTAAACATTGGTACGGAACCCATATAAATGTACACAAAATTTGTACATATTATTATAATCTTTATTTATAATATTTTATCAATATAAATAAAATGTTTTTTAAATTATTGAAATCGGACGCTCCGCTCTCTTAAAGACTAAATTAACATTTTTGGCACAAATTTTCATTTTTGTTTCTTTGCGATTACTATAACTTACCCTACGGGAAGTTAATTGTTAGCAACATTTTTCACACAACTAGGGAAGTTTTGAAGACGTTGTAGACTGCTCATTTACTTCTAATGACATGGACGATCTTTTCGCAAACCAAATTGCGTCTATTCTTTATTCCTTATTCCTATTCACATCACACAAGCGACTTTTGGAACAAATTTTGACTATCAAATTTTTTCATACTTTCATGAATTTTTAAAATTAAACGACCTATCGTAGAGCCGTATTAAAATTAAACGATCTATCTAGAGGCTTAAAAAAAGCTTTTTTTGCAAAAATGTCTTCCAAAACTAGCCAAGAATATATTTCCCTAAAATTTCAGAAATAAATTCAAATTATTTTCGGAATTACAGAAGAAAGAGTGAGAACGCGTCAATACAAGCGGAGTGAAAACTTCGGCGCGCGATTTCTCCGCTTTTCATTTTTTCGATTCTTCCTAATTGCCGGGAAAGATATGCAAAAAACTAAACGTCCTATCGAAACGAGATAAAATTGATTGCATTCAGGATTAAATTCTATTCTAGTTGAACCTAAACCAGGCCGATCGTCGCACAAAACTGAGAAATGATAATCCTCATTGAGACACATTAAATGGTTTTTAAACTTCTGAAATCGGTTCAGGCGTTCTTGAGCAAAAGTCGAGGAAAGGTCTAATTTTGACAAATGCCAAAAAAACGATACTAATTATTGCAAACTTTTACAAATTTTTAAAGTTAAACGAGTTGTCGTAGGACCGCAATATTTTAGTATGATCCTAGAAGACTATGGTATCTACCGTCATAAAAATAATAATAATAAAATTGTCGACAAAAACTTTCATGATCGGCATCTTTGCCGCCAAATGACACCTGCACGCTCGTGGCACATCTGCTTGAATCCTGCATATTACGGCATATATTTTATTGAAAAAATTTGAGAAAAATGTTGAAATATATAACAAAAAAACGTGAAAGTTTCGTTTTAATTAAATATTTATTTCCATCCTTAAAAATTCCTCAAAAAAGCGTTAAGACCGTTTAAAAAACGTTACCGATAAAAATTGACAGATTTTTTTTAACAGTAATTACAGTAAAAGGTGGACGAAAAACTTAACACTTTTTTTTAGTAATTACAAAAAAACCGCTCAGCCGATTGTCGCGCTGAATTGAAAAACGCTAGTTCGGGATACATCCATGCTTATTTATCTATGGATACATCGAATGGCTTTAAAATTTTTGAAATCGGTTTAGCCGTTCTTGAGAAGACGTCGATAAAAGTACAAAAATCGGCTCACATACACATACACACACACACTTTTTCCAAATTTGGTTTCATTCAGAATGGCTTGAAACCTCGCGAAAACATAAATCCGTCAATCAAATTTTTTGGTGACACTTTTTACTCGTGAGTTTTTATTCTGAAACTGTCGAGCATTTCACCAATTTACAATCCTGATTAAATGCGCCAACGTTTGATAGAACTTGCTAAAATATATTTAACATTTTCTTTAAAGAAGCAAAGGAAGGCGTCTCAAAGAGGACTATTTTCGAAAATTTTAAATTCATAGTTTAACCATTTTTAAAAAGTCTTAATGCTTAAAAACACATTAGAAAAATTGTATCATTATTTTCCACTACGGTCCTAGAAATGGTGTTTTACGGGTACGGATCCAAAGTTTAAATAAATAATAGCAATAAAATTTAACCTTAATAACCAAAAAATGTCCACAGCTTCACTTAAGCTCTAGATGGCGCTTAAAAGCTGAGTTTTTTTGAATGATCTTAATTAAAAATCTGATATCATACTGTTTGATACCGGGCTGAACGATGTTGGAAGCATACTCTGGACTAGCTATTGCTAGCACATGTTCTTTAGTTACCTCTACCCCACAGCTGACTCGTCATAAAATTATTAAAATGCAAAAAAATTATAATAATTTAAACACTTACATAATAGTCTAAGAGCCAGTGAACTCTTTGACTAACGTGTTTTCTCAGAGCTAGAAATTTTTTTAATGATATTGTCGAGCATCTTGCGATTGCGTCATCATCCCTCGAGTTTTTGAAAATGTAAAAAAAAAAAAATTTAACTTGCTTTCACAAGGCTCAAATTTCGAGGGTGTATTCTTTTAACTGTTCAGAAAGCATATGTAAAATGCCAGACCATTATGACGGTTGCAAGGGTCTGCCAGACGAGTACATAAATAGTCACGATTTTTTAATGGAATAAATTTTAAAGGTCATTTTGAAAACATCCGATATACCAAACTTCAACTTTGAATCTCACCTTATGGCCGAGATATCATTGAATATATGCCAAAGTGGCCCCTTTTTCGAACTCAATTTTTAGCGTAACCATGAAAGATATCGAAAAAAAATTACGTGTTTGTACTCATATTGGCTTAGACCACATAATGCATAGTAATATATCCTAAATAATCCTTTATTATTAGTTAAAAAGGATAAAATAATTATTCAATTAATGTTTTCGGATAGTGCGTTTTGTTTAATTACTTTCTTATTAGCGTTATTCGAAAGCCTACTGTTTTTTCTTTTAGTACTGCGAATATTGTTATAATCAAATTTGTGGAATTTTATTTCCAAAAGCAATTATTTTGTCAAAACAAGCAGAAAGTTCTTTAAATCATTCAAATCGGACGCTTAGTTCGCTCAAAAACTGCCATTTTTTGCACATTTAGCTCTGTATCACCGAAACCGCTGGACCTGCCTTTGCCAAACCCCTTCTCCCCGTCATTACGAATTGAATGTTTTTGGGATCATTCAAATCGGATGCTCCGATCTCTCAAAAACTCGATTTCTATTTTCTGCCCTCTTTGCTCCGTATCTCCGAATCGCCTGGACCTGCCTTTGCCAAAAACTAATCAGTACATCTCCCTATCAATAGGAATCGAATGTTTTTTGAACCATTCAAATCGGTTGATCCGTGCGCATGAAAACGTGGACGAAAAATTGTATCCATACATACATACATACACACACATAATTTTTTCTAAGGTATGCCAAAATGTTCAGAAACCTTCAAAACGTCGAGAAATGTAAAAATATTGAATTTCGATTTTTGGACGATTACAATAACTTACCCTACGGGAAGTTAAAGATATTAGTTAAACAATAAGCCAAACAATAACAACAAGCTAAGAGAGTTAAACAGTAAAACATAATGCATATTATAAATAAATAAATAATTATTTTTATAGAATAAAATTGTATGGTTTATCAAATTTTAATTTTCTAATATTGAAACTACTTAAAATGTAAATTTCGTAAATTGTAAATGAAATCTACATACATATATATAAAAATAAGTCGGGTTTTCCTTCCTGATTTCGACAATTTTGCATTCGTTGGAAAGGTCTCGGGCTCCGCAAGGTTTATAGCTAAGAAAATTAGTGGTGCATCGTGCCCTAATGCAAATTGCTGGAACTTCACGCACCGTAATTAAAAATTCGAGTAATGAAATTAGTGAGAATTATCAGAATTATGCTTGGTTAAGTCAACGAGCATTTCTTGCCGCAAAGAATAATGATGTACACGCACTGAATTTCACCATTCAATCAAAAATTGCTGACGATTTGGTGACATACCAATAATTCGGACTGGTCTTCCGTTTGACTTCAAACAATTGCAATTTCCAGTTCGTCTTGCGTTCGCAATGACAATTAACAAGTCGCAAGGCCAATCGCTTAGTGTTTAGTGGGATAAATTTCAAATATATTATTTAGAAAATCATTGTTTTTCACATGGGTAGTTATACGTTGCCTGTTCACGAGCTGGAAAACCATCCGCTTTGTTTGTGTTAAGTCAGACCAAAAAACAAAAAATGTGGTTTACCAAAGAGC